GCTAAATTTGATTGACGTTTTTTGAGGATTATTATAATAGATGATAAGTTATAGTTTATATTCAGTTCAATTGCAATTCTAAAAGTATATAAAATATTTTTATTGAGAAATCACTTATTTATATAATAAGTAATAACATTAATCTATTTACATAATAAATAATAAACAAATATATTATGAAATTTGAAATTAATATTTAAATTTATATATCGTTTTTAGTACCAAAATTTCCAATTTATCAGAGGTCAGTCTGCGTCGATGGGGACTGTCAATTGCACTAAAAACAGATTCTAAATAGATTATCGCATACTTTTATAAACAGAATGCGCAAAAAATAACAATATGACAGAATGTTTATTAATTAATTATTATTAGTGCTGTAAACGTTACCACAAAAAAGAAACGCGTTACCCTTACATCTGAAAAAAGGAACGCGGTACCGTTACTCGTTACCTTTTCAAAAAAGGAAAGCGCGTTACCGACTTTTCAAAAAAGTAACGGGCTACTCGTTACTTAATAAAATTAAATATATACAAAAATAATATTTATTTTTTTCTGACAATATATAATAAAATAAAACTATACAAAAAGAATATATAAAATCGTTTTATAAAAAAAATATTTATATATTTAATTATAATATAAATATTTTTTTTTTTGATAATACTTTATTAAAAAACAAATTTTTCATTTACAAATTATAATTAAAAATATATATTAAAAAACATAATATATTACAACTTTCCCTCTCAGCCTTTATCTCATCTCGTCTTGCTGCACAATCTATCATCGATCCACTCCTTCAGATACTGAACTCTTGCAGGCCTTCACCTTTTGGGACAGCAACTGCTCACCCACCCTTTGTCGTCCCGCTTTCAGCATTCAGAAAGACTGGGATGCTCCTCTGATCGCCCGTTCCGTTGAATACCTTATTTCGGACAGGCCCTTTGAGGACAATCCCAATAATTTAGTATATATGCAAACTCAGGTTACGAATGGCTGGAAGCCATCCCCAGTTCCAATCTTGGCCTCCTCCTGACTAGCGAACATCTACGCATTTCCATAGCCGCTTGGCTGATATGCCGTGGTTCCCTCCATTTGCATCGACTGTGGCCATCCCATCGAATCGAAAGCTTACCATCCTTGCACTGGAAGTTCTCCCAGGGACGACAACCGCGTCATAAATCTATTAACAACATCCTCCTACTTCTCTTAAAAAAGTTAATATTCCATTCAACCTCGAACCAGTGGGCCTCTCAAACGAAAACGCTATACTCCCCGATGGCATATCTCTCATTCCCTGGACCAATGGTCTCCCACTAGTTTGGGGCTATACCTGTGTCGATTTTGCCGTCAAGTCCAACCTTTCATTTTCTACCATCGAAAAAACCGAAATCCTAAAAAAAACAAATATGCTTGCCTCACTAACACCGTGTTTATCTTAATCGTTTCCAATACCCTAGTCATGTTCGGAAGTGATGCTCTCAATTTCATCAAAACTATAGGAAAAAAAATGAGGCAGATCTCAGGGGACCCCAATGAAGGATTTTACCTTCGTCAGCCGATTTCCTGGAAATCTGCTGATCCAATTTTTTAAGCATTCACTCTTCCCTAGGGTGGTTATTATTTAAAAAATTTTATAATAATTAAAACTTTGGGTGATCCTTTCTATTTTAATAAAAAATACTTTTAAAATACTATAAATCTATTTCAAAAAAAGAATAAAATTTAGAGGGTGTTGTGCATTTGCATTGTTTAAAAAAAAATTATATAGAAAATATTATAATAATGTAAAATAAATATACATAACATAAAATAACAAAAAAAAAGTAAAGATCGGATCGGTTTATTCAGGCATCGGCTCGATCCGATATTTTTGGAAAACGCTAAATATCTGTATTGATCCGATATTTAATATCGATACAGCCCTACTTATATTTTAATTCCATGATTAAGCTTTTCAAAATATTATGAAAGAATATTATTCTTTTATTAAGGTAATGTTTAAAATAATATTAATTTATCTTTTTACCTTAAAATGCTTTTTTAAGTTTGAACTGCTGGACATTGGTTGAAATATTTTTGTTGGGATATAATTTAAATTTACAAAGTGTAGACTTGGTACCATTAATTTTCTTTATTGATTTAAAATATTTCAAATTAAGGCCAGGGAAGGGTTAAATCATCTTCATCTGAAGAAGTAAATACTATGGACATAATATTCTTTAAAAATTTTTTAAGAATAATAATATCATTAACATTTACTTTGAATTTTGATTGAATATTAATTTCGACAGAAAATTTAACAACGAGAATTTAAAATAAAAATGAAGGAAGTGGTTGATATGAATTAAAACTCGGCTTAAATTATTTATATTAAGAATTAAAAAAATAAAAGAAATTTTATAATACAATAAAATATGTTTTTCTTTTTTTTGATATTTTTTAAGAAAAAAGTAAAGAGTAACGTTTTGCGTTACCGTTACTCAAAAAAAAAGAAACGCGTTACCTAGCGTTCCTTTTCTTCAAAAAAAGTAACGTCGTTATTTGACCCACCACTATTTAATTAAAAAATTAAACATAAAAATGAATTTCGATTTTATTTATAAAAATAAATGGTTTTTTAGATATAACTTTAAAAAAATTTTTTTTTTTGTTAAAAACGCCATTTTTATCGGATTGGATCAGCAAATATTATATTTGCCGATAACCGATATTTTAAAATGGGCGAAATATCGGCCCGATCCGATAAAAATATCGGTACATCCCTAATTTTCAAATAATTTGTTTTTATTAATTCTTCAAATCATGAGTTCATGAACTTATACAAAATAAGAATGATATATAATTCATTTTTGTATATAAATTATGAATAGAAATAAAAAATTTATTTATGTAATAAAATAAGATGTTACCTTTATTTGTTTATTTGGCACTATATGTTTTATTTGCATAGTGTTGGATAATGTCTTCTTGGGATTTTTGAATATTGTGAATAGTTCCTATGGTATTATATCTTTCAACACATTCTCTTAGAGTATGACAATATATAAATTTAATAGTCTAAAATCTTATAATTAGTGATATTTGTTTTCTATATTAATTTGTCATTTATGAAAAGTTTTAAAAAGATGACAAAATTTTATAAATGAATGAATGCAACAAAAAAAAATAAATGTCAACAGATGTCTAACACAAGTGGACAAATAAATTATAAATCTGTTAAATTTATCAAGACATTTTCTAATAGTAGTTAATAGAAAAATTTGATAGACTCAAAAATTTGGTCAAAAAATGAGTTGCCCAAGTTAGACAGGTTTTACTGTATATTCTATAAATTTAATTTAATAAACACATTAATTTTTATTTATAAATGTATTCGCAAAACATCATAATTAATAAAAGAAAATTCTAAAAATTTAAATTGAATTTTATAAAATATTGAGTCTTTATAAAATATTAATGATTCGGAACCGGTTATTCGATCCAGTCATTAGTACGTGCCAGGCCATTTTGTGATTTTGCTAAATTGAATTATCTCCTTCTATACTTAATCAATATGCTTTCCCCTGTAGTTTGTATGGAAAATAAATATAGCTAGATATTTTATAAGTCAATGAGAAATTCATCTAACCTTGAGCCTAATTATAGACAGTAAAAAATTTTTAGAAACAAATTTATGAATATAATAATATTGAGGTAAACATGTTTATAATTGCTAAGTTCAACCCATATTTTCTCTATTTTAATGGAAGGTCAAACAAATCAATTTCAGAAATGCTTATGAAACCAAACTCGAAAGGTAAAAAAATTAGGATCCATATATAATGAGTAACTATAATTATTTATGGACTGTCTATCAAAGATATGCAAAAACTTTATGGTAATATGTTCTATTTTGTAGTACTTTTTTGTCTTCACTATATATAATGAGTAACTATAATTATTTATGGACTGTCTATCAAAGATATGCAAAAACTTTATGGTAATATGTTCTATTTTGTAGTACTTTTTTGTCTTCACTATATATAATGAGTAACTATAATTATTTATGGACTGTCTATCAAAGATATGCAAAAACTTTATGGTAATATGTTCTATTTTGTAGTACTTTTTTGTCTTCACTAGATTCAAGCAGATGTAGGCACGGTTTAAGATATGGTAAAATGTCTGTAGGTTTTATATATTATATTTTAATATGATGAAAGAGAATAATAAAAATATGTGATTTACCATCAGTAATCATAATAATATTGGGTATTTTCGGATCGGGTTGGCCCATGGAACTATTGTAAAAACTTTATGCCCAGGCCCGCCCCCTCAATTTTATTACAAATGGAATTGAAAAATATACAAAGTGGGAAGGGAGGCCTAGAGAAATTCATGCCCCCCAAAATAAAATACATACAATATTTTAATTAAAATTTTAAAAAAAATTTTATGAATATTTTACTTGTCTCATTTGAAGTTAATATGATAGTTTAGTAAAGTTTTGTTTTGAGCCCTATATTTTCCTTTATTCTGTGAACAACCAACGTCCTCGAGCAGATAGCCCAAGGTTACGGGTAGTTTAGGCATAGGGTTAGAAAAGACACAGATATAAAATTGGGAAAAAACTATGAAATTATTTTAAAAACTGCAATCAATTAATTTAAAAAATGTGATTCTTTCTAACTATTAATTAAAAATATTACCATATCATTGCTCGAGCGTTTACTTTTTTAAACCAGATATTCAGAAAATTAAATGTTAAATTTTTAAAACGTACAGTTTCAGGTTAATAAAAACATTAAGGTCAAGTAGGATTCAGATATATCATGTGATTGTAATATCTTTACCTTAGTTTTGAAATCGAATTCAACCTTATACATCAAAACGTTCTCATTGCTTCTTTCATCCTTTATTGATTAAAATGGTAAAAATTCTACAAGTTTTCGAAGCACACATTGTTGGACATGATAAAGAAAACACTATTTATTTATTTAATATCTTCAACAAAATTTTACAATAAATTTTTTTATTCCTAAAAGGAAAAAAATATTAAAATAATATAACAACGTGCATTTTTCGAATAAAATTTTATATTTAAAAAGAGACGAAATTAACAATTAGTCCTGGTATTCATGCATCAAAATATATTGTATATAAGATCGCAATAAGTGAGTTATGTATGTATTATACTAAAATATAAATGAATGAATGCTAAAAATATATTAAATAATTTTTTAACGCGATTTTTACATAATAAATTGGGTTCAAATTAGTATAATAAGTAGCAAAAAAAACATAGAATAAAATGTGATAAAAGAGATTCAATTTAATCGAAAGGGGGAAAGAGAATTTTTTTTATTGTAAACATTTTAAGAAAAAATGATTAGACTTTAAATTTTGAAGAATAATAACTGATTTTTTTAAAAATATGCTAAAATATGTATTATATCAAAATTAAATAATTTTCTATATAAATTTTAAACTGATAACAACCACAATTAAACATATACAATAATTAGAATATTTTGCTTAAAAACCTAGTTAATTTAAATGTTATTTATTTTTTAAGCTCAATACAAGATATAGAAATTGAGAAATGAAGAAAAACCTATGATAAAAAAAATTGAATCAATAGTTGAATAGGTAAAAAGTTTTGATTATCCATAAAATTATAAATAAAATAAATTTTATAAAAATAAAGACCCTATTTTAAATAAGGGGGGGGGGGGGTTGAGTTTGATTGAAATATGAATATTCATTTTAAAAAAAATAGAACAAATTTTATGTATAATAAAAAAGTAAATATAAAGGTCCCCGATACAATATAATTTATAACTTAATTTTTTAAAAAAATTTTTGAAGCATTACACGAAAATGATAAATAGTTAATTATTGCTGGACTTAACTTCAAACTTTATTTAAATTTATAAGTTACCGTTAATAAGTTATAAATGAAATCGCTCAACAAATAATTGCACAAAATTTATTAAACCATGTGATAAAATATTTTTATATAATCATAATTATAAAGGATATTTTTATAATGCTTGTTTTTTTCAAAAATATTTGCAATTAATTTTTGAAATATACATGATGAGTGGATTATTTTTTTAAAAAAATATCAACTTTCGATTTGCTTAGAGACGATATAAAATTGGTGCTTCTTACCTATAAGACCCCATATCACCGCTATGACCTCAATAACGACATTAAAAGGTATGACCGCGATGGATCCGATCACACAAAATGCAAAAAAAGCAAATTGGTAGATCGAATGCCTTATCGAATGTGAACCGCTTGAATCGCCTGAAATGTTCACTGTTGGATTATATAATTTAAGTATAAGGTTTTATATCACTTTTCTTATTTTTTTGGCGTTAATCCTTATTCGTATAATTTCTGTTATTTACGTTTTTTATGTAATAATTAAATCTTTGTTTTATATCATACATTAAAATTTCATAATTTAAATCTTGGTTCCCAAAAATAATTCTTTTAAATACTATATTAAAATTAGAAAATGAAATTTTATATAAATACTATTCGTTATGAAAAAATAACTGTTAAGTCCACGAAAAGATCTGTAATATATTACATCGCGTTCTGGTATGATATATTTTTGATGCTTATCTGTTTAGCCTAGTCTAAACCTGGGGAATCACTAGCCTTTAAAATAGCAGGGGGTTCAAAAAATTATTAAATTTTTTTTAAGATATCCAAAATTACCTTCTTTTGCTTAGACTAACATTATCAAAATATAAAAAAAAATTCGAAATTTTGAGGGGGCTCTTCCAATTTTTCCGACTCCCCCCCCCCCCCCTTAGTGATGCTACTGATCTAAATAGCCTTTGATCTAGGACACCCTATTTTAGTTTGTTTTAAGTGTTTGGTAGCATTGTTATTTTTCGTATTTTGCCCCTCTCATTTTTTTACGTTGTTAAGTCGAAAATTTTGTGAGCTTGGGTTTTCGGGAGAATCTCAATAGAAGGATGGAATGATTAGATAATATTTGCTGTTGAATATTAAGAGGTACTGTGAAATAAAATTGATTATAGGAATCCACCAAATGAATGTTTTATTCATAAACGGAGATATATTAATTGTAACTCTTTGTCGAAGGTTAAAAAAAGTCTTCGTTTAGATTTTCAGTCTTAATAATACGATGCCCTAGACCCTTGAAAAAGGTTAGGGCGTGAGTGACAAAGGAAATTAGCTTTTAGTATGATTATTAATAATATATGGTTGGAAGGCAACGCAGAAAGATTTGGAAGATTTGCCCCGTTCTGCGTCGGCTATAGTTTCATGGTTTATATTGGGATGCAAGTAAATCTACACAGGAAAAGTTCTATGTTAGAAACTCACTAGTCTTACATGGGATCTTAGATGAGTGATTAGGACGCTTACAATCTGTGTTGCAAAGTCTAGTCGGCTAAAAGTTAGAAGGAATTCTAACAGATTTCAAGGCTAGAGGTATAGTGTCAATGTATCTGGCATTTTCTCGAAATCTACCTCAGCATCGATTGTAATGCAGGGATGCGATCTTTTGAGCCAACAGGAACATATTGGACATGTATAATTACCATATTGCAATTAAGTCTGAATCCGATAGCGTGATAAAGCTCATCATTTGTGTAAGTAATAAATCACGTGTTTCTATTCCTCATATGTTTAGGATTTTATCGTAACTATAGAAATTCTCGATGAAAGGCAAAATAGTATATAAAATAAAAATGTACAGTAAATCAAATATTTAGTTTTTTTGATTGAACAATAATTGGGAGCTAGATTAAAGTTAACCTTACCTTACCGAGTATATTGATTTAGTTAACCCAAATTCAAACTAAATGAATAAGCAGCTCCAGAACCCTTGGTAAATTATATTCAACGTCTCCAAATAATAGCCAAAGACAGTGACATTTTTCATTTAAAGCTAATAAATTCTTGTCTCAATGTGGACCACATCTTTTTGTCGAAGTAAAATCTAACTCCAAACCTGGAGGAAAATGTTTTCAGTTAAATTTCAGTAGCTGTACTTTCAATGACTGAACCTACAACACAAGTCAACTTCCGACCAAGATAAAGGTATCAATGCCAAGGAGAAAACGTTCGTGGAGATTGCACAACTAAGCGACTTAGGAGAAAGTTTTGATATTGCTATTTCCACACATTATATTGCGGGAATAATTTTCCCAGTCTAAGGGGAAAATTAATGATCTCAGAGCCCCTGTATTTCGATTATATCAAATTAGCAGTAGCAACAGAAATGGCAAATATCCTCACAAAGTTATATCAATATCTTCAAATAGAAAAATACCTATTAATCAAAATGTCAATAATTCACAACAATGCCTAAATAAAAAATCTATCAAAATTTTGGTGAAAACCAAACCACCTTAACAACAATAACTATCAAAATCTCGACAGTATGTATTAATCTTTTTATCAAAACCAGACTTCGATAGTTCTAGACCCAAACAAGCACAAGGATATGGGTGAAAATAAATGCGCAGCTCCCCAGTTATATAATGCCACAATATTACCAACAAAATTTAACACAAGGTGTTATTAATTTAGTATTTTAGACCATATTTATGCCGCTATCTCAACAATAATAATTATCAATATTTCTGGCCACATGGGGATTATGTATCTAATAATAAACATCCAATAGAATTTTCTCTACCAAATTCTATATAAATACTCACTATTAAACCCTCGATACCCAATATAGAAAAAAGGAGGTAATAAATAATACTACACATACTGCTAGAGTAGCAGTAATCAGCAAAACAATTTATGATAAAAAATTGTACAACTCACTGATTCTCCCGAACAGAAATCACCATAAAATCCCTATCTGAATACGAATAAAAACCTATAGGAATTTTTGAAATATAGGCATCGTTTAATAATATAAATTTTACTATATTAAATTACTTATAAGGGACAAAGATTTTTCAATATTAAGTCGTGAAATGTTTCCAGACTTTTTGCACACAATATTCAGAGATCCACGAATGAATTTTTATTCGTTCCCTGTGAATCTACGTAAGGAAAAAGAGCCAATAAATTATATTTCTTTTACTAACTTCTTTCCCCTATGTAATTTAAGGATAAAGGGTGTTATAGTTTTCAGAGACTTTCATGAGTCGGACCGGCCTTCTGGCCAAGTATGGGCCTATTATTATATTTCATAGCGGGCCTCGGTTTTTAAAATTTTTTCAATGTGATAGGGCTTAAATTTTTAAATTTAAATTTATCTTATTTGAAAACGAAATGATTGCCAAGATAAACTATTTGTTTATTTTCATTAAATACAATAATTCAAATTTTTGAGTATGGGCTTGGCAAAAATTTCAAAGCTTGGGCTTTTTTTAAAATATTAAATATGGGAGCTGGGTATAAAAATATTTTCTACTGTGGGCCTAGGCCGGGCTTGACCAAAAAATTAAGGCCCATGAAGGTCTCTAATAATCACTTTTCTCATTTTTAGCCATTATTCTAATTTTTTATTTATTTATATATTTTCCCTCATTCATACAATATTGGTTATTTACATTTTTTTAATCAACTATTTAGGTTTTCTTATTTTTTATAATCAATTTATTTTTACATAATTCTTAAATATTACATTCAAATTGGAAGAAAAAATTTTGTATAAATACTCTTGGTTATTTTATATGAAAAGATTATTGTATTATTAATTTTAAAATCTTATATATAAACGTTTATTTTAAATTTAACTATATAATTGGTATTGATTGATTGAATAAAATGACTTGCTATAAAAATAAATATTTAAGTACTGTTTTACATTAACCATTAACGCAAGATGACGAAAAAAAGTAAATGACACAGGTAAAAGGTATTTTGAATCTGATTCTCTACATTAAAAACGCAAACCTTGAATGGTGTTTCTAGCCAACTAACTCAATCACAATTTAAATCTATAAAATAGTATAAGAAAAGGAAACTAAAAAGTAGGCTCCTACGTTTAAACGCGCGTTTAGGGATCGTCTGGCCCCTTATGCAGCGAAGAAAGATGTTTAGTATAGTTGAGCGGCGCCGAAACAATGTGATAAAACGTCTAACTAAATTATTCGAGCGGCTCTCTTTGAGTTCAGTTTGGACCAAATTGGGGCGTGATTCAAGGTCATGCAAATTAGGGCGGTAATCAGAGTCGTAATTCGAATGATTGGGTGCATACTTCATAAAATTTAAATTATTCGAAATGACAGAATCCGTTTTCGAACCGGATGGGCAAAAGACAGAGGCGTCAAACTGACCGTTAGGTATCGACTTCGTATAATTAGGGAGAACGATTTCTAGATGAAATTTTTCGAATTTACTGATATTTATTGAAAATGTGCTATAACATAATTAAAATAATAAATGTTTTTCATATAACTGAGTGCACTTGGCCCGGAATCCGAGGCAATGATACCCGGAGCCATTATACATAAATGTAGCGAAAATATCGAATTTTTTTACGAACGTTAATCTCCTCTCACTATACATTTAAATTTAACCAAAGTGAAAAAATAGTAACGAAAATATATATTAAAAAAAGACTACTCAATTCAAAGTAGAGGTGGGCTCGGGCCTAATCTTTTATTCACAGCCCGCCAGCTCCCGGTGGCAATAAAAAATTAACGCCCTTTCACGCTTAATACTAATTGAGCCCCGCCAGCTCAAAAAAGACAATATTTTGATCACGTTCGAAAATTCTTCAAAACTTTATTGCTATACTTGTACGCTTTTTTGAATTTATTTATCATAGTTTTTATTTCCCTAATTCCATATTAATAATACAAAATAATTACAATTTATAAATAGTAAATAAAATAAGATATTAGTAATTTATGTAATACTAAATATAAAAATAAAATCATAAATTCAATATTAATTAATGAATAAAATTTAGATATAAATTGTAAGTAATTAGGGGGTATCAGTCATTGAGAATATGAAGCTGAGGTAATTGGATTTTATTATATTGAGGGCTAATCTTTGGCGTAGGTAGTAACCCTCGTTGGGATCTTCGGTCCTAGTAGAGATCCGTTTCCCCAGCTCTTTAAAGAAGGCAAGGGCATGATAGCCGAACGATGTTAGAGTCGTGGCGATTAGTGGTAGGAATGTGTAATTGGCCGGAAGCGATGGCGAATATTTAGCGAGTTTATTCATCTCGGTGTCTACTAGAGCATCTTTATTTATATTGGAAGGGGCAAGGGGATCGATGCATGAGAAATCCCAGGTTAGAAATTCCCCCTCTTCCAAGGGATCATGGTAGAGCCATCGGGACGCTTACCATCAGAATTGTAGAGTCCAGTGGGTTCTAGGGTTGATGGTATACCGGCAGATTTTAGGGCCCTGGCAATAGTATCATTGCATTTTGAATGTCTAATGAATCTGCCTCTACAGCGCTTGCAGTGTAAAGAGTGACGGCCTTTGGAGTTGACCGGCGTTTGACAAAGGATGCAGTGATAGGGTATTACCATATCACAATTAAGTCTTAAACCGATGGCGTGACGTAGCTCATCATTGCTTAGGAGCTGGTCAAGGTTTCGCGATGGAAAAGCTTCGAGAAATTTTTATTTATAAAATGAAGAATGTCCATGTTATTTTATTTCAATTGTGTTAACTTATCTAATAAGAAACTGATTATAGAAAATAACCTTTCTCTTGAAGCCGAACTTGCCGGAACTGACAGGATTTTACTAGCTAATTTTCTCAAAACTGCTTCCAAAACTTGTTGTTTTATACATATCTTCTTTTTTTTCGTCTATTAAAAACTTAAGACTTTTGAGATTTAGAATTAAGCTTATGTGGTGGCTGCACGATAAATCTTTACTTTAAAAAAATGTTGTCAGGGCATTGATATCATTGTATCACCTTTAGAAATTGACAAAATTTTACTAATTTTTGCTTTCATAGATAAGCTTCATTTATTGTGGGAAAGAAGCTCGGATTATCAGAGCATTCTTTGAATATAGATAAAAATTTTATTAATGATAAATGAAAATAAATTTATTTATTACCAAATTTCCATTGCTGAACGAGAGTTGAGAGATTTATTATTTTTCATTCAATTGAAATTTAATAAGACGAGGAAAAAAATGTATTAAAAATACAGAATTTCAAAAATTATTCTTTTTTCAAGAACTAAATTAAATTAGAAATATATATTATAATTATAAAATTGCAAATTTTTAGGAAGGCTCATCATGCTTAATAATTTAAAATTTATTCTCACTCACGCCGTGGCCCATCGTGTCATGAGTAATTTCACGGCCCGACCCATCTCTTATTAAAAGTATATTATACTCTATATACTAAGTAATAAAAAATTGTGTAGTATAGCTTCAAAATGAGTAGTCTAATGTTCGAAATCCGGCTTCACTAAAAGTAATTTTTAAGTGTATTTGTGAAATATTTTCTTGTACTCGAGCTGGCTATATTAATTTTTGTGATCTAGGCTAGCCATAGTTCACAATCTTTTATAGTCTATACCTAGTTTAGGTTTAAGTTATCAAATATTAGGTCTAGAAAATAAAAACGAATCAAATGTGCTTATTCGTATCTAATCGGAATAGAAAATTTACAATCGTATTTGATTAGAATAATTCGTTTTTTTTAAAATATTATAAAATAATTCATAAATATATTGACAGAGATTTTATTCCATTATATTATATAATTTAGTTTAAAATTCTCATTAGAATGGGCTAACAAGTTGACAGGTTAGGGTGTATTTAAATTATTGATTTCTTTTTTTAAAAAAGTCAAAAAATGATTTTTTCAAATTTAAAACGGATTTTTTAAAAGAAGTTGGATTTTATAACTTGGAATTTTATGAATAAAATTTTTATACGATCTTCATGTAATATTTTTATTTAAATAAAATCAAACTTTAAACATTTTATAAATAAATAAAAAAATAGAACTGGCTGCAAGATAGGTCTAAATATCAATAACAATTTTTTTTAATTGCTGGTTACAAACATAATTATAGATAATTCATAAAATATTTTACTATAATGATTTAGAGCTAAAAGGTGTAAAGGAAGAATATTTAGCAATAAACATTTTGCTACTGATCTCACATAGACTGCTCAACGCCCTATTTAATAATATTATAAAAACATCATTCATTTGGCAGCCATTTGCAATGATACAACATTCATTTTAATAAACCTATAATAATTTTAACGTTAAATATTTTATTGTATTTATGAAATTGTTTTATATTTTATTCAAATCGCATATAAATTGCAAGATAACATTTTCAAAAAGATATAATATAAAAATAATTAATTATTTTTTAATAATTCATATTTTAATGGATGTAGAAAATAAATATATATATATTAAACAATTTTTATAATAATATATAATAAATAAGAAAATAAAGTAACAAAAAATTTTACCAAGATAATGCATTCTTAAAAATTTGGTTTGTATATCTTTTTACATAACAAAAATAGCGGCTTAATTTAACAGAATATGAATATACATTTTATAATATAAAATAACATAAATTTAAAATTCATGTAAAAGTTTTTTTGATCAGGAAAAATGTATCTTTTCCATATGTATAAGCATTAATTATATATATTTTTTTACTATTTTTTAACTTACAGATATAATGTTAATATATCCGACTTTTTTTTTCTATTATTTTTATTCCTGATCACTTTATCAGCATATAAAAATAGGTAGCTTTGAATTATATATTTTTTAAATTACCTATGTTATTAATTAATAAAAAAAAAAGTAAGTGGACCCATACAGTAAAAAGATAATTTTTTAAATAGCATATGCTCTTAGTGATTTACAAATATTAATTAAACTATAGTTCCTAGATAGAAAAACATTTTATTTTACCATTTTGAGAGAAAAGAAAGCTTAAATTTAAAAATAAATATGATAATAAGTTGATATATAATAGTTTTAGGCCATAATTTTTTTTCATTATATAAAACATAATTTCTTATTTTTATATAAACTTTTATGTATTCATGAATTATAGGGGTTATTTTTATTTTTTTTAAATTTTGTAATTTATCAATTCTTTCAAAAATATTAAAAAACTTTTATAAAAATTTTAAATTGATATCATTTTATGAATCCCGGAAAAAAACCCCGAAATTTTTTCGAATTTACTTAAGATCTAATAATATCGGTAATTTGGATTTAATAAGGTATAGACAAATTAGTATTTTAGAAAAAAATATTATAAAATAATGATTTATCAATAAAATAAACAGATCTTATTGCAAATTTTGTCTACTTAAGGATGGATATTGTATTTATTACTATAGCAAAAATTTTTACGAAAATAAGTAATACATGGGTTATTTTATTTCCCAGTACCAATTTGAACATCAGCATTTTTTCTTGTTTAAGCACTGCGATTTTGTTTTCAGTGTCCAACTACCTACACGCCATCGTTCAAGTTTGGTTTCATCGGCAGCCACCTCGCATTTAATTTTTTTAATCAATACCCAGATTGATGGGTGTTTATTCCCAACCAGATTAGAAAAACGATGATTCAAACCTTCGCATTGATTATTTATGAGTTATTATTTGGATAGAGTGCTCTGATTCAAGTTTTCGGAGGAAATCGAGGCCTCGACCTGTCTGGGATTGTGAATTGCTTCTTGTGACCTCCCTTGATACTCCATTGATGTAATTTTTATCGAAATATTCAAGAATATTCTTACCATTGCTTGGAGTAACCGATCTAAGGAATGACATTGCATTGCCCATATCACATAAAGGAACAAATGCTAAGCCGTCCATCATGCCACAAAAGAAGCTTAGGGCTTCATCGGTTCTGTATTGGCTTTCCAGACCTAGCTTTTGAATTTTTCTGCGGGTACTTTGACACAAATGGTAAAAGCATCCTCTGATTATGATGTGATCCCCTAATTGAAAAAATAAATATAAATAATTATACATATTAATAATCATACCAATGACAGTTTTAACCGCGCTCATAGCAGACTTTTCGAAATCCATGTATATATATAATGGATCCGGAAATAAATCCCGTTCTTGACATTTAGACATTATTACTTCGAATATTTTTTCGTAATTAGTTTGTGTTTTTTTGGAGTTTAATAGCTGTTAATGATTGTGGCATTCGCTTATAAAATTATTTATCAATATGAATTATTGCTAGGTTATACTAAAAAAATTAAGTGAAAATTGAGAAGAAAAAATTGAGAAAAGGTCAGAAAAATAAAGATTAACAATGACTTAAAGCAAAAATAGGAAGAAAATAATAAATTGAGAAAAAATTTAAGAAAAATTGACAAGAAAAAATTTTTAAAATAACGATTTTCTTTTTTTTAAATTTTTTTTCCTATTACCTCATTTTATATTATAAAATATTATACTCATATTCTGTTATAAATTAAACCGCTATTTTTGTTGTATAAAAATATACAAATAAAATATTTAAAAATGTTCCATCCATCTTATTACTTTATTTTCTTATTATATGTTATTATTATAAAAATTGTTTAATAAATATAATTTATTTTTTATATTCATTTATATATGGATTTTTAAACAATAGTAAATTATTTGTATATTATATCTTTTTGAAAAATTTTATACCTTGCAATTTATAGTTAAATACAATGAAATTGAATGATTTTTGCAAATGGCGATTGTTTTAATGACGTTTTTTGTAATATAAGTCTATGACTGATCTATTTAAATTTTTTTATTAGTAGACAGAACACACTACCAGCTAAGTCAATAGCCATAAATTTTGTTAAGAAACCTAAAAAAATTAACAAAACTTATAAATATCAGCTTCAAAACATCTTATAAAAATATAATTTAAATCACAAGATCCTTGAATGTATGGCAAAAAAATTCATGGAATATATTAATTTCGATAATGACTGACAGTATTCTCATAATGTAAATAATTTCTCTTAACAGATGTATTAACTTTAGTGTTGTTAATTTGCTTGGTAGTAAAATTTACGACCCAATTTGGTGCTCAGGCTTGTTCTGAGCACGAACCCGGAGCACAGACCCGTAGTTTAGACCCAGAGTTCCAACCCGTGGTTTAGACTCGGGGTTCTGGTTAATAATGTTATTCCATATAGTTCAAATAAAAATTATTTACCAAAAGTATAGAAACAGCAAAATGCAATGGCATTTTCTGGGGTTAGATAGTAAAGCCCTACAAGCAACTCAGCTTAGGGTTAAAAAAATTTTAAACGAGGACACCTAGGGCTTTGAAATACTTAGTGTGTTAAACGGCTCGTATTGAGCCAATTTTTAAAAATAAATAACTCAATATTTTATCCAGAAAAATATTACCTAAGTCTGAAGATTCAGCTCATAGAAAGAACAAAGGTCTAGACATATATTATCGAAATCTCGAGACTTAGGCAATATTTTTTCTGGCTAAAATATTGAGTTAGCCGTTTTTAAAAATCGTCTCAAAACGAGCCGTTTAAGAACACTAGAAATACCAAAAAATAGGATTAAAATGAGTTATTATGTTGGTTAGCTGAGCGATTATTTCCAGCTATACCATCCTAGTTCAGAATTAGATATGATTTTCTGTTTTTTAAACATGTATTGATTTTTTTTCTAACTTTAGAAATGTATCTTAGACACGTGCATTTGATAACATTATTTCCTAAATTCGGCAAGATTGAGCTTGAATGGGATATTTAGAATACTTTTGAATTTTTATTTATTAGGAAGGGTGGTTATACAAGCGTCTTTTTGTTTTGCCTATTCTGAAGTCAAAATATACAATATCTTAAATTTACACTTTTTATATAGTTTGAGTAATTATTATAATTGGGTATGGCTAAATACATACTAACTCGGCTAAATCTAGGCGCTTACCAAAGAAAATCCGTTAACATTAAGGCATTTTAATTTATATTAATTTCTTCCAAATTTGAGCCTCTAACTTTTTAAGATTAATCCCGAAAAGTCAGAGTGATAGTTTTCGGCTAAAAAACATAGTCAAGCCGATTTTTTAGCTTGCTAAAAATATATTTGGTTTGAAGAAGTTTAAAATTAAAATTGTTGTAAAATTAAAAAATAATTATTATAAGTTTTAATTTAAGCTAAAAATTTTTTTTCTCAACATTTTCTTTAAAGATTTTAAAAGTAAATTTGTTAATATTTTTATCTGATGGAGTTTTATTTTTAATTTAATCGCCAACATGTTTCATTAAATCATCACAACAACTGAAAAATAATAATTAATAAACTTAACTTCTAAAATATAAAAAAAACGGAAATTTTATTTTTAATAATTCATTTTTAAATTATAGTGAAAGTTAAATTTAATAATAAAAATTTCTATATAAATAACTAAAAAAAATAATAATTAATTATAAAAAAACGCATGCTGATTGTTGAGGATAATTATGGCAAAGTTTTAAAAATAACGAGTTCAAGAGATTTGTCGATATCTTAAACAAAGTGATAGAAAAATAGACATTGAAAGACAAATTATGGACCTGCTAATGGCTAACAATACCTTCACGGTTAAGGAAATAATTGCTGGTTCACCAAAAAATATTGGAACCATAAGGAATCAAAAATCTTCGATGGTCCAAAAAAAGAGCTGGCAAAGAATCGGATAGCAGATTGAAAAACATCTCCAGAGAAAGACTTTATTGACGAAACAGGCATCAATTTACATGTTGTAACTGTCTATTGTCTATGCCTGGGCACCACTCAATGTGAGACAATCAATAAAGGTTCCACCCTCAAAAGGGCGTGGAGTTATACATTATAAAATCATCGAAGGATCATATAATGGTATATTATTCCGTGAGTCCTTAATGGAGATTATTAGCATGTTACCACCTGATGCCATTATAGTTATGGATAATGATTCAATACATTAAAGTAATCTAATTGATGCCCATGGGGTCTTCAAAACCAAATAAAGGTTATTAATTCCCAGACCAAGCAGAAGGGAGCATGTAATAATAATCAATATAAATCAATTTATTCCATATGATTTTATAAATTTTTATAATCATATGCAACAGTATTTGGAGCTGGGCTATCGTGGACAACCAATTGACTAAAGTAATCTAATTATATAATAAATTAAGATTAACTTTTAATTTTTTAATTAAATAGGTACTACATAGCAAGCAATTTCGTATGACTATAAACTACCATTTAAATATTTTATATAATCAATATTCATGTATTAGTGTAATTATAAATATATTTCTTATTATATTATGTTTATATGTTATATATGAATTGAATAAAATATTAAATTAAATTTATATCTCAAATATGATAAAATAAATTGGGAGAAAAAAAAATTAAATTTTTAAGAAACAATAATAAAAGTTCAACCAACCATTAACAACACTAATTAACTTCGAAAGAGGTATTTTGATCATTATTACATTGAAAAAGAAATTGTAAAAATCTGGAGAATTCACATTACAATGAAATGTTGTTTATTCTTTATATTCGACTTAAGAAAGTATTAATGATTAAATATCAAACCAACTAATATTTAGCTTTCCATACAAATCTTGAGTAGTGGAGATCCTAATATCGCATTTACTTTTTTTAGTGATAATTCATATCCTAATCTTCAATTAACTTGTTGATGTAATCAGTTACTATCGAATGAACGTTTTCCTTTTTTTGGCAGTTCAATTCAAAATTAGAAATAAGTTTGGACTAAAAAACAAAATAAATATTTTAATGATAAAATTTTAAATTTAATTTTTTATTGTTGAAATTTATATTTAAAAAAAAACTAGTTATATATTTGAGTATTGTTTGTTAGTGTTACAAATATAAAATATAAGTTGATGAAAAAAATTTATAATTAAATTATAAAGTTTAGGAAAGATATTAAATTTTACTTATAAAATTGCTAGAATAACTTTAAATAATATTCAAAAGGTATAAATCCCTAGTAGAATGTCAATGAGCATTCTCAAAAAAAAAATTTCATAAATCTCAAGATTTTTTATTTTTAAATGTATCAAACTCTGAACGACACTTTATTGTATTCGTTTCTATTCAATTTAAATAAGCCTAGTTCATTTGCTAAGACAAAATTAAACGTGAAATTATTATAAGAGTGACATAGGTCTTCATAGTATATTCAGATAAAAATATCGTAATATAAAATACTCTCAGGGCAATCAATGTTGCTGAAAACGCGATCACGATCACTTAACGTCATAGCAGAAGCATTAGTAGGGACAGTTGGCCCCGCACAGCAAAAAGATGTGATGGCCCCAAAGGCATACATATACACAGTGGTGCCAGATATAAAGGCAGTGAGGACGCGGAGCAGACGTGGAACTTTTAGAGGCCATAGCTGATTGATGAGCACTTCATTAAGCAGGATAACAGGCATGAGTATCCAAGCGTACACAAAAAGGGCAAGGCATAACTTGCTGCTCCAGATCGGGATCTCGGGGCACTTATGAACAACGAGGTAGATACCCTGAAGCCAACGCTTGCGTTGCTTCAGAAAGTCGCCTACGGTAAAGGGCGATTTCTCCCACATCTCCCCATCTACAAAATCGAACCAGAAATTAAGGGTTCTGTCTGTACGATCTGCGCTCACTCCCGTTTTCGATATCAGGTGGCGGCGATGTTCAGCAGAGGTAGACTGGAGACGGATGGCAGTCATTGCGAAATAGCAATCCTCTGCGATGCTACCATGCGGTCCTACGTCAAAGGTAACACATCTTTCGGCGGCAGCTCTAGTGACTACAAAGCTCCCTTTCCAGTTAAAAAGCGGCTTAGAGAAGAATTTTAGTTGGAAACGGTTCTTACCCATATCGTCAGCTACGCGAAACGTGTCGGCCAGCGTGGTGAGCCAATTCACGACGCCATCGCGAGAATAAGTTATGAGGCCTTTGTCGAGTGGTAATTTTTTTTTAAAAAAAGGATAAATAAAATGCATCTGGGCTCAAATTAATCTAAATTAAGCATACATACCAATAATAAACTGAAAATTGTTTGAGGTTGAAAATAAGACTGAATTAATAAATACATTCAGACATTACGATGGAAATATGTCGAATTTAAGCAACAATATTTGTTTAGAAAAGTTGAACTTATAATATTTTATCGCTAAAGCTGAAAATGAAAAGATGTATTAAAATAAAATAAACATTTTTTTTTCATATTCGGCAAAAATTGAGGAACTAATTTGTTTTTTAACAATGCCAAAACTAAAAGTCAAAAAGTGAAATAACTTCCATAAAGTTGAGAATAATAAATTGAATCAAATATAGAGCGCGATAGAAACCATAAACAACTTCCGCCAACAACATTTTGTAAATTCCGATAAATATAATGTCTCCAGGTCAAAATAATTTGGTAAAATAAATTTAGTGTAATAATAAAATAATCAATGATGTCGTTTATAGTAGGTGGTTATGCAAAATAGCTCCATTTAAGCCGATTTTTAAAATAACTCAATATTTAAACCAGAAAAGTATTGTCTAATCCTCGAAGGGAATAGATGTCCAAACCTTTGGAGTATGTGAGAGGAGTACAGTTTTTTTTAAAAAAAAATGCTCTAAGAGGCGTTCAAAACAAAAGCTTATATAATAACATAGGGAACGTTCTCTTAAACTAAAAACGAGGAACGCGAATACTTTTTGAAGACTTTAAAGGCGCAGTTATTTTTAATTAACAATTTTTTCTAATATATTTTTTTTTGAAAAAATAAACGATTAAATATTAAAAATAAACAAATTAAATTTACCGATGATAAAAATTAAATAAGCCAAGGTGAACCATGCCACCATCTTATTATAAATATAAAAAAAAATTTTGAACGTAAATTATTCGTCTTAACTTATAATTTTTTTTTTTTAATTTATTTATAAATTTAGCCTCCTAACATTTATATTTTTGGAGATATAGGGTTTAAAGTTGATAAAATGACGAATTAAACCATACTATTCTTAAAAACGAAATAATTATAAATAACAAAAAAAAATTTGATTTCAGTGACCATTTTATTTAATATATATGAATTAAAAACGATTTTTGAAAATAATCATTGGGGGTATCAATCTTGCTGGATATATTTAAATAGGTAAAAAAAATGAGAAATCCGATTATTTTAGCTCGCTAAGACACATCTCAAGATACAGAGCCTCAAAAGTGCGAAAAATAATTATTTTCATTTCGCGCCTGTTAAAAATAAATTGACAATCTATCAAAAATTATTTAAGGCAAAAATAATAAATACAACATTTTCAGGTAAAAAAAATCTTTAAAGGTCAATCGAAAGAGAGAAAAAATTTGGGTCATTTTGAGTCTTTAATCTTCAGTTTACGTTTATGTCTTGACGCATGTTTTTAAGCATTTCTTTTCATACGAAGTTAAAACCCTACCGACGCATCAGCTTTTCTAGAAGATGCATTTTTATCAAAAAATCAAATTATTTGCATAAAATAGATGACGCTATATGAAATTATAGATTGTGGTTAAAATTTTGTTGCTAACATACCAATAACAGAATATTTTCATTTTATTACTAAAATATTTCAAATTTCTATTAAAATGTACCAATTAAATAGAGGGGCAGTGTGCCCCTTGACCATCTTAATAATGTATTGAAAATAATAAATTTCTTTCGTATAATTTTTTTATTAATCATTTTTATCAATAATATGGTAATATAGATAATCGAATTCATTTCACTATTTAAAATATATTTGAAGCAAAATAGAGTTAGAAATATAAATAATTATATATTTAAGCAAATAAATTTAAACGATGAATAGTTTTAATTGTCTCACCTTTATGTAAAGTATATGTTCGTTCGGTAGCAGTTGTGCTTTATGTATCCACAATTTGTCAACTAATACCGTTTTTCGGAATTTTTTCTAAAAAGGCCCATCTAACATTGATTGTCATAGATAAATGTCATATATCTATTTATTCTTTCATATATTAGATTAGTATTAATATTCAAATGAAGTGTTTTGTTTAATATTTGCGATTCTTATGAATTTGAATAAAATTTAGCTCCAATTTTATCTCGAGAAATTGAATAAATTAAATAGAGGATTAAATATTTTTGGAATAAGTGAAGGGCAATTGCATTATGCGTGAGGGATTGCGATATTATTACGTAACATAAATGATTTAAATTATTAAGTATCTTCGAAATCACAAAATGAATGGTAACTTACGCTTTTCAAAAATCGTCATTTTTCACACTTTTGAGACTCTGTATCTTGGAAAGCAGGTGTGCTAGCGAGCTAAAATAACGAATTCCTTATTTTTTTACTGATTTTGATAATTCCAGCAATTATTAAAATATCTCCAAAAATATCAATGCTAGGAGGTTAAATTTTTGCCTATTTTTTATTACGTTAACCTTTTTGCTTACCAAATTTTAAAAAAATCGAAGGGGGTTGGGCCGAATCGTAATTGATTTGTCATGGAATGACCCAACAATATAATCAATGTACCCTTGAAATTTTTAGCCCCCCCTCAGCTGATAAAAAAATGTCTAAGCTGCCCGGCCCGTAATTATTATTTCTTTGTGAAGGGAAAAAATCATAAATTTGCATTATTTTAAGAGTTAATTTTTTTGCTAGATTCCGAGCCCGTCGCATAAGTTGATCGGCCTGAAAAATTATTTTAAAGTTTTTCGGGCCGGTCTTTTTTGCGGGATCTCTAATACAATATAATCCTGTAGTAAATTTCTCCTTAAGAATTTTGAGATAATAATAACTTAATTGGCAAATTGTAAATGGGAATCTCGTATAAACGGTCTGTCCAAACAACAATTTTATATTGATGAATAATATATTACTTTTGCCCTCCAAAATTTAATTTTATTCCAACATATTTAAAAAAATTATACTATATCATTCATTCACTTAGGTCATTACAATTTCATTTATTAACAGAATATTAAAGTCGGACGCGGCCCGCAGAAACTTTTGAAAGGGTGTTCGGTCAAGCCCGTGAAATAATTTTGAACAAGTTGCCCGGCTCAGCGGGTAATAATTTTCTATGAAGGAAAAAGACATAAATTTGCTTGATTCTAAGCTTAAAAAATTAGCGAACTTCCTGCTCATAAAAGTATTTAGCACAAGTTGTTCTGCCCGGGATTAGTTTTACAGCTGGTGGAGGTTTAATAAATTTCATCCCATTCTATTCTTGCATATAAAAAAATCCAAAATCTTTGCGATATTTTCCCTTGAAACTTTAGACAATATTATTCAAATAAATTTTCAGGAATAATTGAAATGATTGTTTTTACAGGTTTGCGTGGTCATGAATATTCTGTTATTCAAAATGAACTTGCAACTTTGAATTAGATTTCTTAATTAATCCTTAAAACAATGGAAAATGACAAGCATCTTTCGTTTTAAAAAGAATGCAGCGTATAAAAACAACGTTATTATTTTGTTAGGCAGCGCTGCGGTTATTTTTTTGAGTAAGTCTACAGCACTATTTTTCTTAAACTGAAGTTTCTAAGATATCGTATATTTGGAATATACTTTAGTGCATACAAATGTGAAACACATTATATTTATTAAAACCATTTATGATGTACTTTATTTAAATATTTTTTGACCATTTTTTTACATTATTTATGATGTGCTTATTTTTAGCCTAAAGCAAACTAAAGAGTCAGTTACAAAAAATCATTAATTATTTCTGATAAAATTTAGTTTACTGACAAATATTACTTAAAATTTTTAAATACAAATTATACTGAAAAATAATTTAAATCCTAGCTATTTAACTAGAAATTGACAAAATTATGCTAAGAAATACTGATCACTTTTAATAAAATATTGATAAATAGCAGGGATGTGAACCCGACCCTCGTATTTTGCTGAACCCGAACCCTTTTTAAAAGTGGAGGGTCCAAGGGTTCTAGGCGTCATAAAAAATTTAAAAATAAAATATTTTTTGAAAAATAATTTAAATTTTTTAAAATTTTATTAACTTTTTTTTGTGGAATCATTGAATTTATCTTCGCGTTTTTCTTTCAATTTTCTTCCTGGACTTCCATTTTATTTAGAAATTGATATCATTAGTGTAAGTAATAATATTTTATTATGTAAATTTTTTAATAGGCCATGTTATAGTTGATTATTTTTATAGTGAATTGTGTAATAATATTTTAATTTAAATGATAAAGCACAACACTTTGGTCCTCAATTTGTATGATGCTAAAACGATTATTAAGTTTGAAAGATTTGTAATGATTTTATTATAGGAGCATATGCAGTTATTTTGTCAGAAGATGATCGAATAAAGGACCTTACTAGTGTATTAGTTCCTTTAAAAATAACAATATTAAGATTACAATCAAAACAATTATATTTATTTGATTTTTATGGCATATGGATTAGATGCTGATTAGATTTAGAAAAATTTACATTCCTTTTTATACGAAATATTAGAAAACATGAAAATTCGAGGCAACAAAATTTGCAAAATAGTGTTGTATACCCTTCTATATATTTAGTAACTTGATATCAAGTTTTATTGTGTATTGAGCAAAAACAAATGGCTAAAGACCATCTTAAGGATTTATGGCATACGCAACTATTATTTACAATATATTAGAGGCTACGACAATACTTACTGGTTGTAGTGATAATAATAATAATGATAGCAACATTGATGATCTTGAAATTTTACTTTTGAGAAAAATATCAAATTATCATCAGATAGAAAGGAGGATCAAAAAATGCCTATTGCATCTTTAATAGTAAAGTCCTCAGAAGTTAAGAGATAAGGATATAAATATTTTAAAATTCTGGGAAGAAAATTCTTCAATATATCCAGAATTATATATCTTATCTAGAATTTTCATGACTGTACCGGCAACATAAGTACAATAATTTTATAAAGATAACTATCTATTTTAAGTAAGGGTAGAACGTGAATTTTCATCTATAAAATATATATTGTCTACTTTAAGTGAAAATCTCAAGGATGATATTTTAGAAGATATTATGATTGTGCGATTGAATAAAACATTTAAAATATAAATTATTTCATTTTTAAATTTTCATTTGTAAATTATGAATATATATATTGAAGTATAATAATAATGAAAAAAAAATCTTATTTTAAGTTATTATTTTTATGTTCCCTGAACCCGGACCCGGGTCCTTTTCAAATTTATTCCTGTACCCGAACCCGGACACTTTTTTTGCCTAAGGGTTCACATCCCTGATAGTCGCCATTATTTTTCGAATAGAAATAATCTTCGTAATAAACACTATTAGATCATATTTCCACCACGAACAAAAAAAATTTTTTATTACATCAAAATAGGCTTATTGATATTTACCTTGTCCAAAATCGTTTTTACCGTCGCAGATGAAATTTAAGATACCAATGAGCGAATCAGTAGTGAGGAGTGTCTCTTCATCCAGATGTACTATCCAATCATCGTCATTCAAAAAATGATTGACATCCTCAAGTGCAAATTGTAAGGCACGGGCTTTGAACAGGCTCCCCCGAGGGGTGCGGTAAGAATCTGGTACCACTAACTCAAATATTCGGTCTCCGACCTTCCTTTCATTCTAAATAAACAATTACATATATTCGTTTTTTCGTAAAGATCCTTGTACAAACCAAAAGTTGGACTTCGACTAAAATTAATTACTTTGCTTCCCTCCCTAATTTCTTTATTGAAATTATTTTTTCAAAAATTACAGCAAAATTTTTTTCCATTGAAGGCGAAAATTTTAAAAAAAGCATCTGTTTGGTCATTTATGTAGCCTCCTCTAAGCATCTTAAAAAAGAAGAGACTATTATGATTTATCACCTCTTTGTTTTATTTGTTCCGAAAAATATATAAATAACAAGTAATAATTTACTTAATGTACAACTAAAACAAACCAGAATAGAGTGTCATAGCTCAAAGACTGAATAGCCTAAGCTAAACAGAAATAAGTTTCAAAAATAATCTGAGCGTTGACAAAGCCTTAGTAAACATTTTTTTTATCTTTCGTTGAAATATTTTTCTAACTGCCCTAATAAAAAAAATGAACTTATTTCAAAAATAAAATTTTGGATCAACTTGAATCTTTGAACAAAATAACTAGGATAGGTCAGGCATTCTCTGATTGTTAAATTCAGGTCTCTAGCTATTAAGTTTAAATTTTAAGCGAAATTGGCAAAATTTTCAAGAAAGTTTCAAGGCGAGGAAACGACAAAAATAATAAATTGTTTCACAATAAAGAAGACTAAATTATTTTCAAACATTTTGAAATGAGATTGTGCAATGTGCAGCAATAGCGATTCGCGTTTACTATACCATCATGATAAATTTATAGATCTATGACTGGTAAGCTGCTAAGAGTGTTTAACAAATGAATATCTTCATACATTGTCGCTCGATTGATCATATAATTATGCTAGTCCTATGCAGATCAATTCGACAGAACTCGGGATTCGGTTAGATTGGGCCTCGAAAAATAAAATAATTCTCGGATCGGTTGGACATAAATTTTTTTTAACCGTATTTGACCATGTCAAATACTCCTTCGGTCAATTGACTCAAATTTGACCGATTTACCAACTGTGATTTTTATACCAAGTATATTGTGTTCAACTTCAAAGAGCAAAAATGTTGGAAATTGAAATATAAATATATTTTATTCCACGCTATATCAAAATTAATATAAATATGGACAGGAATTTATAAAATTCTATATAATTTGCATATAACAGTAAAGTTGGTATGCCAAAATATGTAATAATGAATATTACTTTAAAATTTAAAGATAGAAAATGAATTATTGTTAAAAGTCAATTTGAATTTTTTAAACAAAAATATAAAAAGCAACTTGTATCTGTTGTCAAGAAAATGAAATAAGTATTTTTACAAATATAAGAATCTTATTAAAATGTCCAAAAGATATAGAATACCTTGTATCTCAGATAGAGGTTCGCAAAGTGATTTTTTCTCAACACGAGCCCAAATTAAAAATTTTGCCAGAGCCCGACCCGAGCCTGAATTCTAAAAATTTTTTTCAACCCGACCTGAACTAGACTATTTTTTTAAAAAATTTGAGTGGGAATATTATAATATCCTAAAACAATTAAAAATTATGTGTATTACCTTAAATAAAAGTTTATTTGACCACCATAATATAATCAATATTTATTAAGTTGAATTTTATAAATCGAAAACATACCTTTTATTCAGTTTAAATATTAAAAAAAGTTGAAATACATACAATCGAATTTAAAAATTATTAAGATTATATAAAAATAATGTGCATGATATAATGAACGTATTATAAAGATATATCAATATCATAATCAATAGTATCATATAGTGAATAATTGCGATATATAAATAATGAGGAGTCAAATTTGTTAGGCTTTAAAAACAAGTTCTCCCATCTACAAAGGCCCTACCAGCCGCTGAAAGCGCTCTTTCACTGCTAGCCAGGAATTTAAGAACCAAAACACTTAAATTGGAAAGGTTGTTTTGATAGGTCTTCCACCAATTAAAGATTTGGTAAACGATTTTGAATATCAAAAATTTACTGCCATTTATTTAAATTGATATTAGATAAAAATAAGCATGATCGTTTTCGTTGTATTTAAAATTTAAGGAGGCTATATAGTGTAATGTTATTTTTTTGCTCTCTACGAGAGTCGAACATAAACCTCCCGTTTCAAAGTCGTATGTTTTAAGCATGCACCAACTTGAATATAATTAAATTTAAAATATTAATTATATATATACTAGTTCATAACCCGTCAAGAATGACGGGAATGATAAAATCTTGAACTATTATATGAATTTTTTTTTAAATAAATGACAAATTTTATAATTTATTTTATTAAATTTAGCCTAAAATATATGAAATTGTAATAAAAAATGTAGGGTAGATATAGATAAATTGGTATTGTATGTCATTTCCAGAGTTCAAATATTGTTGAGATTAAATTTTTATATTGGCATATTTTGGGGTGTTAATATGAGATAAATGTTTATTTTTCAATTTGGCTAAATATAATTTAATTTATTTGTTAAATCATGTTTCTAAATTGTAATATTAGGATCACTGAGAGAAGTTAATTTTCTGGCATGGAAGATATTGATAAATAGGTATTTTATACTATTTGCAGAGATCCCATATTGTGGTTGAGATAAATAATTTAAATTTATTTGTTATATCTAAATTGTAATATAAAAATAATTTTATAAAAATTAATAAATTTAACTTTGATGGAATATAAATATTATGCTAAAATTAATATGAGATAAATGTTTATTTTTCAATTGGCTAAATAAAATTTAATCTGCTATTTTAAATTTAATAATATTCATTCTTACCATAATTTGAGGTGAGATTCGTATTCCTTTTAATATAAAACAATAAGATCTAAATTATATAAATTAATTGAAAAATAAATGTTAATAGCAAAATAATAACATATATAAGAAAGATTATATTACAAAATTATAGAAGGTGGTTGAGTGGGAAGAACGTTTGCCTCTAAAACGTTAAGTCGTGATGTACAAAAAATTTCCTTAAAATTTAATATTAGAGATATATAGTCTCCATCGATTTATTTAACATTAAGAAGATAGGAAAGTTGATAGAAAAAATAAAAGATGATAGGAAAAATAAAAATTAACATTAAGATTATACGAAAACGTTCATTTCTTGATTACGGTGATTATATATATACTAGTTGATAACCCATCAAGAATGACGGGAATAAAAAAATCATGAACTATTACAGGAAATTTTTTTATATTAAATAAAGGAGAACATTCAGTGAATTTTCTAAAATTTGGAGGTAAATTCCATTAAATAAGGAGATTGAAAGTGTTTCTTTTTTCCATTAAATAAGGAGATTGAAAGTATTTCTTTTTAACATTATCTATATAGAAATAGCTGGTAGTAATTGAGGTATCGTTAATAGCCTGGATAACCTGATCAAACGCATGTCGCTGTAAAACATTTAAATTGGCTAACATTACCATTGCGATATCTGCTTCTATTATTAGGTCATATAAATTAGATTGAGTGATAGAGTCAGGAGATGGAAGATTAAAATCGTTGCAATTGAACCCAGGACAATCTACACAGGTTAGAAGTATGGAGGATATTCCTGTGGTAACAAAGGGTAAGACATTTTTTGTTGTCCTCTAAGATAGTGTAGTAGAGTATTATAAAGATATGTCGTCTTACCTGATCCACCAGGAGCATCTATATAGAAAAATCTGGTAGTAATTGAGATATCGGCAATAGCCTGGATAACCTGATCAAATGCATGTCGCTGTAAAACATTAACAGGATTCCTTACATAAAGATTTTATGAAAAATATACGTTTACGACCACAAAATATGGTAGTAAATTTATTTTTTATCTCAACCACAATATGGGAACTTTGCAAATAGTTTAAAATACCTATTTATCAATATCTTCCCATGCCAGAAAATTAACCTCCGTCACTAATCCTAAGTACTTATTATAAATTAGATTTAACAAACAAATATAAATTATATTTAGCCACATTTATCTCATATTACCACCCCAAAATATGCCAGTATAAAAATTTTATCTCAACAACAATATTTGAACTCTGGAAATGACATACAATACCAATTTATCAATATCTAGGAAAATTCTATTAAATAAATTTGACTTAAATGATAAAATAATATTAAATTTTAAAAATATTTCACTCATCCTACTGTTTTTTTACATTAATTGATTTTTAATTTAATAATACTCATTCTTACCATATTATTAGATTTTTAACTTGTTCAAATTCAAATATTTGATTCATCCTACTGTTTCTTCCTGAAATATGGAGGAAAATTCTATTAAATAAATTATAATTTGATTAAAAATTGGTAAATTTAAAAAGGTTGTGATCTTCTAAAAATCATTAATTAAAAATGGTTGATTAATTAATTAATAAAACAAAGATAATAAATTTAGACCAATGAAATAGAAAGAAAATAAATTTAAACCAATGAAATAAGACCTTAATAAGCCAATAAAAATAAAGATTAATAAGCCAATAAAAATAAAAAATAAAGCAAAATAATAACGTATATAAGAAAGATTATATTATAAAATTTAATATACGTTAAGCCATGGGTTCGAATCCCGTTATGTATAAAAAATTTTCTTAAAATTTAACATTAAAGAGATATAGTCTCCATCGATTTATTTAACATTAAGAAGAGAGGAAAGTTGATAGGATAAATAAAAATTAACATTAAGAAGATAGGAAAGTTGATGAGAAAAATAAAAATTAACATTAAGGATATACGAAAACGTTCATTTCTTGATTACGGTGATTATATTATATAGATATATTAATTAACAGCTGTTATTAGCTGACGCGGTTGAAGGGTAATTATTTAGTTTGCGTGTATGGTACTAAATATACTTTATTAATAAATTTTAATTAAAATTTAGGAGAAAAATAGGTAAAATTGTTGCAATGTATACCGCGAGCATGTATTAGAAATATCAAAATTTAAATTTGTGATGGAAATCATATTGGATAAAATTTAAAATAGACATGCTTTAAGAT